CAAAGTGCAAGAAAACTAAAAACAATGCAGCTGCCGTTCTTATCTTTTCATTCGGAGTAGGTGAACCACTCCAGAGATGAATTTTCTCGAATCCACTCATTGAAAGTTCTTTTGCCCCCACCATTAAATATTCTCGATTGTGGTACAGGCCAAAAGTAAAGCACTCAATAATTGATCCTTCTCACTTTTTCTGCTTCAAGTACTATAGATCTGAAACAGACATCAACGATCACGGTTCGCCACCTATTTTTCTGTCTGATGCTCTGAAAAGAAAACTTGTAATATCATGGTCATTTCACGTCCCAAACCTTTTCATGTTCTTTCATTAAGTTACTTATGGTCTTCCTCCGCATCTTTTTCCTTCTAATACTCCAGTGACAAAATTCTGACTAAAAATAATAACTGGCGGGAAGAAAGTCAAAGGTTAGGCACACCCAGACAGAGGGTTAAGGACAATCATTAAAGTAGTCTTTGTTATGACTATCGTGGAAAAGGGCAAAGGTCACTGGGGTGAAAGTCCTGAGGTCAGCTATTTTTTCGGTCAGCGGCGAGTTGCAGAGAAAAAAACATTAAAAACCAAGAGGAAAAAACTGAAACGAAAAAGGAGGACATTAAAGAATAGAAGAGGGATGAATGGAAAAAAAATGCTGCGGGCAGGCGATTTCTTTATTTGGGGGGAGGGGGAGGGAGTTTAATTGAAAAACCATGAAATGTGGATGAAAGAGGCTAGATTGGCAGGGTTGGCTAGACGTAGGTACCAAACTTAGATGACGACAGTCTGATGGATATAACATAGCGTCCACCAAAACTGCTGTTCAGGATGATGTACCAAGCCCAAATATTTTTTTTCTTTAAAAAATATTTTTAACTGCAATTTTTAAAACTGTTGTATAGGTCACATCATTTGATGAATTTTGTATGTTCCACGTTTTATTGAAATTAGTGGAGAGGCGGCCGAGTTATTACCCTTTGGGTCCTCCCTCATTTTTTTATACACCCTTTGTGTTACCAGGAAAATATATTTCGTTGAAATTCAACTTTTAAATATTGTGAAAAGCAAGAAAAGCTATGTAATGTTGGTTATTAGTTAAAACAATGGAACAGGTTTTCCTCCTTCCTTAAAGAAATCGACTTTTGGGTTTCGTTATTTGAACAGCATTCCAACACTATGGTGAATAGTGGTCGAATCAGTTTGTAGTTACATGGACCAATAGCCTGGCTGTCCTTTTTGTCATTAGTGCGTACGCTATTTCAATAGTGAATGGGACGGACAGAAGGCAAGAGAGAGAGAGAGAGAGAGAGAGAGAGAGAGAGAGAGAGAGAG